AGACAATAATACTATTTCACTCAAGTGTCTTCCTAAATGTTAATATTCCTTTTTTGATCTTTGAATCAAAGCTGTAGCAATAGACAAGACTTGTTTGCTTACATCACAAGACCTGAGCAAACACCTCCCCTTCTACCTCTAACAACCCCGGCTGCATTTCAAAGCTCTATTCATTTACAGATCTTCCTAACCAGTCTCTAAAGTTTGGCCCTGGGTCAGGTCAGTCTGTGAGTTAATTAACTCTTTCTGGCCCTGTCACCATTCAATGAGATATTATATCGCACTCAGAACGTCACACCCCCGCTGAGATCAGGGCCCCAAGCATCCCAGTCACTGCCTGGACATCGGCTGCGATCGGGGCCCCTGAGTGTGCTGGGCGCTGCGAGTGATACCAGCCCATGGTCTGCCAGCGAGTACCTGTCCTGAGAGCTGGGAAGGCTCCTGTGAGATGCCCGCTGGGTTAGTGCCCTGCCCTGCCCTGCCCCTGGAGACCTGGCGGCGTCCCTGCCTGGGGTCACTATGTTTCTGGAGCCCTCCTTCCCCAGGGCTCCCCATGGAAGGGAGCGTCCTTGTCCCATGTGGCTGATGGGGACTGGGGCCCCGGGACGGGGTCTCCCAGAGAGCTGGAGCTGCGACTAGAGCCCAGAGTCCTGACTTCTCTGCCCGGTGGTAACCAGCAGGCCCTAGTGCCCCCGGGAGATGGGCTGGGCAGGGGTTCTCAGGCGGGTCGACTTTTTCCAAGCCGTTCGTGCCCTTGGCCTGCTGGGGCCCGCCTGCCATGGGGTGAGGAGCGGGTCACGGCTGGGGCTTGCAGAGTCTCTGTAGCCAGTAGCCTGGCGGGCTTCAGGGCCTGGCGCTCAGCTGCTCCTCTCCCGCAGGGACCTCGCAGCTCGTAACTGCCTGGTGACGGAGAAGAACGCGCTGAAGATCAGTGACTTTGGGATGTCGCGGGAGGAGGAGGACGGGATCTACGCCTCCACAGGAGGCATGAAGCAGATTCCTGTGAAATGGACAGCGCCAGAGGCACTGAATTATGGTACGGCGTTGCTTGCTGCAGCTCCCAGTCTGGTCACGCTGAGCTGGTGCCCTATGCAGGCCCCCGGGGCCTCCTAGCACCACGCGAGGCACCAGGGGAAGGCACTTGCACACAGCAAGAAAGAACCCAGGAGTCCTGGCTACGAGTCCCCTAGACCACACGGCTCCTCATGCTTCCCTCAGGCCCCATACGGGGGAGCGGGCGCCGGGCACACCACAGCCCTGCTCAGCCCTTTGCATGCGGTTATTTACCCCGGGTGGCGGGTCGCTCGGCGGCCCTCGGCTGGATCCCTCTGGCTGGGGCAGCAGGAGGCCATGGGAAGGGGGGTCAGATGCTGTGTCCCAGTTGGACCCAGAGTGGTGTCTCTGCAGGGAGTGGGGGCTGCCCAGGCTGCAGCACGGTTACTGCCTGCCTAGGAGCCCCAAGGGGGCTGGAGCATCTGGGCAGGGGCTGGAGGTAGCCATGCTCCCTGCCCCTTGCCTGAAGGCCCCCTCTCCCCAGGCCGCTACTCCTCCGAGAGCGACGTCTGGAGCTTCGGGATTTTGCTGTGGGAAGCCTTCAGCCTGGGCGCCATCCCCTATTCCAACTTGAGCAACACCCAGACGCGCGAGGCCATTGAGCAAGGTGAGCAGGCTGTGCCCCGGCCAGGCCCCCATCTCCCCACGAGCAGGAGCTGCCTGGGCTGCCGCCGCCCCGGGGCACCATCATGCCAGTGGCAGAAGCGGGGCGGGAGCCATGCTGCCCAGGGGATCCCCTCCGGTGAGCAGCCGCCAGGGGCTGAGGGTATTTCCGGCTCTCTAGAGCCCTGGGGGCAGGCTGCCCTGTGCCCTGAGCCAGCTGCGTCTCTCCCCAGGGGTGCGGCTGGACCCCCCCGAGCAGTGTCCCGAGGACGTGTACAGGCTGATGCAGCGGTGCTGGGAGTATGATCCCCGGAAACGGCCCAGCTTCAGCACCATTCACCAGGAGCTCGTCAGCATCCGCAAGAGGCACCGGTAACAGACCGCGGGCTCCCAGGCCAGGAGACGCTGCCCTGGGCCCCTTGGGCAGAGCCCACGTTGGTGCCGACTCCCCTCAGTGGCACTGCGAACGCCCGGTGTGACCGCCCATGGACTCGTCTTCCACTATGGCCTGGGTCAGCGCAGGCTCCAGCCATCGCCATCAGCAGCCCCAGGCTGTTGGTTGCCTCCTGGGTGCAGAGAGACCCTGGGCCGTGGGGTCTCCAGCCTGCGCAGCGCCATCCCCTGCGCCTGCCCCAGCTGTCAGGACAGATGGGCCAAGCCCTTCTCTTCTGCTTTGGGGGGGTATTTCCTCTGGAATAAAAACCACCCCTTCCTCACCCAGTCAGTGCTGTGGCACCCAATGGGATTGCAGGGACTGCGCTGGGTCCCTGGGGACCTGCTCAGACGAACTGGCCCCTTCTGCCCCTGCAGGGTACTCCCCAGGGCCTCAGAGCCAAAGCTGGTCTTTCTGTGCAGTGCCAGGAGCCTGGGGGCTCGGCCTAGCCTGGCTCCTGGGCCCGGGGGCATGGTGCTGGCAGGCGGAAGAAGCCGCTTGGGGCTAAGACACACTGCGGGGCTGGGCCACTGGTCTCCGTGGAGCTAGGCACGTGCCTGTGGCTGGGGCACGTACCAGGCAGGGAGCTGTGTGACCGACAGCCCGGCCCAGTCTCTGGCTGGTACCTGAGCTGTGTGCATGCTCCCAGGAATGGCGCATGCAAACTGGGTGGGCAGCCGCACCCCCGTGTGACTCTGGAAATCCGGCTGTGGCCGTGCCAACCAGCACCACGGGCTGTGCCCCTCACTAAGACTGCTGCGTTCAGCTCTAGGCACCAGAAATGGCTCTGGCAGGGGCCAGCATGGCCCTTGCTGGGCACGGCATGGGCATCTCGTGTCTTAGGCAGGGCCTTGCCCTCTGTGCTGCCAAGGCCTCTCAGTGCCCGGAGCCGGCCAGCCCCAGCATTTACCAATGTTCTGGACTCCGGGTATGGCCATAGCACCAGTGGCCCTGGTCAGGGCCCCACTGTGCCAGGCGCTGTACAGACACAGAGCCAAGAGACAGCCCTGCCCCACAGAGCTACAATCTGAGCATAGCAGGAACGACAGGTGCATGCTGTGATGAGTGTGAAGCTTGGTAAGATTTGTATGTTGCCAACGCATGCCTCAGTTTCCCGCTGTGCTTTGTACTGCTGTGCTGTCACGGATCCACAGGATCTCTTCTGTGCCTCTGCTATTAAACTGTCCCTTGGAATCACCCCTTCAGTGTGCCAGTCCCCCCCCGGATCCCCTCCTCCTTCAGGGTAGCCCATGCCTCTGGGCTCCAGCCTCCTGTTTCAGTCCAATGGAGACAGACCCTGGCAGAGACTCGCTGCCTTTGCCAGGCATCACAGCACCTTGGCCAGTGTCTGCAGTGACCCCAGGCAGCCTCTTCCAAACCGGGGAGGGTTTGTTAGTCACCTGGCACAGGGCATCGCAGGGCCTTAGAGTTCAGCCTGACCAGCGGCAGGGCACTGCCCAGCCAACCCGCTCTGGATCTGGCTCTGTCAGTCCCGCAGGGGAGCCCCGGGTCTCGCCAGAGGCCAGCTCTTCAGACAGCCGCCTGACACTTTTCCCTGAGCTGGAGAATCGGGGCAGAGGTGGGAGGAAATCGCCTTCCTCTTGGGCCTGGGCTACATGCCAAAGCCAGGCCGCCGTAGCCAAGTCACCGTGCTTGTGGCTGCACTTTGGTTTGCCTCCCGCCCTTTGTGCCCCCGAGCAGCACTGAGCCAGGGCCATGCCTGGGGGCCGAAGCAGCACACATGTAGACACTGCCTTGCCTATGTCGGCCCTAACAGTTCTCCAGCTACCCGCGGCCAGTAGACCTCCCTTCCCTCTTCAAACTGCTGCCAAGTTTTGAATTGCCTTTTCCTGGTTGTCTGGCTCAGCGAGCACGCCTTGCTGCTCTCCATTGGTGTGTGCAACTGCCCGGCCGGCTCCGGGCTCCAGACGTGCTCCGGCCTGGAGTGGCAGGAGATACTGGATCTGAGGGGCCTGTGAGGAGGAGAGGCTGTGCAGGCCCAGCTCCGAACCAGCTGTAGAAACGTGGACACCTGCGAGCGGACTGTGTGGGGGATGCAGGAGAAGGGCTACGACAGGGGCCCACAGCACTGCTGGGTGAGCCAAGGAGCTGCAGCAGGTGTCCTAGAAGGCCAGGGAGGCCAACAGTCGATCGGGTGCAGATCCACAGACCTGCTGCTCTTACAAAGAGCTGCATGCCATCCTTGGTGGAGACCCCACCACCACCCGGGGCACCTCCAAGGATCCCGAGTCCCAGGCCCCTGGCGTGAACAGCCAGGAGGAGTATGGGGAATAGGCGACCGGAAGGGGGAGGGGGTCGCTGGGCCACAAGCCAGGATCGGTTTTTGACTCCCTGGCAGTCGAGCACAGGCGAGCCTGACGCAGGGGAAGGAACCTCGGGTATGTATGGAAATAAATGTCCCATTACAGCGACGGCACCACCGTATAACGACTTGTCAGTAATGCACTCGTGCTACAAGTCCTGGTACGGCCAAGAGAGGCAGTGGTGCCGTCTGGTTCATTCCACCCTTGAGCGAAGCGGCAGTTGGTTTGTGCACACAGGGGTGTCCTTTGAATCCTGGTATGCTGCAATGCTCAGCCAAAGGTTTCTCGGGGAGGCAGCCTCCGCAGTAGGACACTTCTGCACGCCAGTCGGCATAACGCCGGCAGGCACCATTGCTGTAAAGAGGCTAGCGGCGTACGGGCCTTCAGGAAGGTGACTTCAGGACACCAGCAGCAGCTGTTCCCCTCGCGAGTGAGATATCAGCTAAAACCAGCCCCACCATGAATGCCAGGGCCCTATGCTGATAGCTTCATGCAGCTGGACAATTCCCTCCTTGTCACGGAGTCCCCGGGCGATGCTCTGGAACTGCTCCCGACGCAGCCAGTCAGGACTCTGGTGAAGTCTCCTCTCTGTGAGCAGACTATCTCCAGGGCAAGAAGCTTCGACCTTCCTGGGTCTGACCTCAGAGCATTCAGCATCCCCTGCCCCACCGTGCGCTTCCCACAGCGAGTCCGCGCAGGCGGGGTCCTTGGGAAGCCAGAGGGCCCCGCACCCCCACTTCGCAGTCAGACGTGACTCTCAGCCAGTGTAAAATGACAGGACCACAGCGTAGAAGAGAGCTTGCTATTACAGACATCAGTGACTTTCAGCCACGTCCATCTTGGGAATCCTGGGCCAGACGCCCTGGATTCCCCCTCTTCCAGTCCCCCCACGCAGACTGCCAACCTCCAGCCACCCGACCTCCGCCACCCCCTTCATGCCTCTCCTCCTTATCTTTGTCTCTGACACCCCCACCTTGCACTTCTCAGCTCTTATAGTTAGACCTGCATCCCGGAGCCAGTCCAGCGCTTGTTAACCTGGGACACGTGGTCCTCCCAGGTCTGGCTAAAAACACAGATGTCATCAATATACTCCAGGGAAAAATTTTCCATCCTGTTGAGTAACTGGTCCACCAGGTTCTGGAAGGCGGCAGGTGCCCCCTTTAGGCCGGAAAGTAGGACCAGGAACTTGTATAACCCCAGAGGGGTGATAAAAGCAGATTTCAGCCAGGCATCCGGATCCAAAGGTACTTGCCAGTAGCCCTTGGTGAGATCCATAGTAGTGAGATAACGAGCCCCCCTAGCTAGTCTAGGAGCTCACCAGGCCTAGGCACGGGATAGGCCTCGAACTTGGTGATGGCATTAAGCCTCTAGTAACCCACACAAAACCGGATTGACCTGTCCTTCTTGGGGACCAACACCACAGGAGAAGCCCAAGGGCTGGAGGATATCTGGATCACCCCAAAAGCCAGCATGTCACTGACCTCTCCCTCCAGGTTCTGGGCTGTTTTCCAGTGACCCGGAACGGGGAGCAGGTGGGCTCTTGTCTCCACCTGGTGGACAGCCAGGTTAGTGAGCCCAGGCTGGTTGGAGAACAGCTGCCGGTAAGAACCCAGCACCCCTCGGATCTCTGCCTGCTGGGCCGGGGTTAGTGGGTCTGAGAGGGGAATTGATTCCAGCGAAGGGCCGGCCTGTCTCAGGGAATAGATCCACCAGGGGGTCATCTCTCTGCTCCTCCCACTGCCACACACGCCAGTACCAAATTCTCCCTGTCCCAGTACGGTTTCATCATGTTGACATGGTTCACCCGGTGGCTGTGAGCCCGGTTAGACAGTTCCACCACATAGTTCACCTCATTCAGCTGCTTGATGACCTTAAAGGGCCCGTCCCAGGCAGCCTGTAGTTTGTTCTTTCTCAGGGGAATGAGACCCATCACCTGGTCCCCAGTGGCATAGGCGCGGGCACACACTGAGCGGTCGTACCAGACCTTCTGCTTCCCTTGGGCCCTGGCTAAATTCTCCCTGGCCAAGTCCGTGAGCTCAGCGAGCTTTTCCGGGAAATTCAGTACATACTCCACCACTGATTCTCCATCGGGAGAGGCCTTCCCCTCCCATTCGTCCCTCATCAAGTCCAGGGGTCCCCTCACTCTCCTCCCGTACAGCAACTCGAAAGGAGAGACCCTGTTTGATTCCTGGGGCACTTCCCGGTACGCAAACAGCAGGTGGGATAAATACTTGTCCCAGTCCTGCAGGTGCTGGGCCATAAAGGTCTTCAGCATCATCTCTGGGGTCCCATTGAACCTCTCCACCAGCCCATTGGACTGAGGGTGATACGCTGAGGCCCAGGTGTGTCGGACCCCACACTTCTCCCACAAGCACTGGAGCAGGGTTGACATGAAATTGGAGCCCTGGTCTGTAAGGACCTCCTTGGGGAACCCCACTCTGCTGAAAACAGTCGGCAGCGCGTCTGCCACGGTATCTGCCTCGAGAGAGGACAAGGTCACTGCCTCGGGGTAGCGAGTAGTGAAATCTACCACCACCAGGATGTATTTCTTCCCAGCCTGAGTCGCCCTGCTGCGGGGCCCCACTATGTCCACAGCCACCTTCTGGAAAGTCTCCTCTATGATTGGCAGGGGCCTCAAAGGTGCTTTCCCCTTGTCCTGGGCCTTCCCCACCCTCTGGCAGGGGTTGCAGGACCTGCAGTATTGCTGGAAGGCATCAAAGACCCCAGGCCAGTAAAAGTTCTGCAGCAGCCTCTGCCTAGTGCGCTGGATTCCCTGGTGTCCCGAGAGAGGGACATCGTGGGCCAGGTACAGTAGCCTGTGGCGGTACTTCTGGGGGACCACCAGCTGCCTCCTGATCCCCCACAGTTCCACTTCCCCTTGGGGAGCCCATTCCCGGTACAGGAATCCCTCCTCCCACAGGACTCTGTCCCAGCAGCCTTCCCCCAGGAGTTTCGCCATGCTGTGGCCACCAAGTTCCCTCAGCTTCTCTAAGGAGGGATCCTTCTGCAGCTCGGCCTGGAACCCAGCGGCTGGGGAAGGGGTGGGGATCTGCTCCCTCTCGCTGGCTGGGTCCGAGGCTGTAGCCTTGCCAAGTCCTGTCCCCAGTGGCTCCTTTCCCACTGGGGTAGAGACCTGCACCCCCGGCAGGGCACCGCCCCGGTGTCAGGGTGTGACGATGCGGTTCTGGCGGAACCCAACTGAGAGTGCCAACTCAG